GATAAAAGGGACGCCTTGCAGATCTCAGAAGTTCTCCTCTTTTTCACTACCAGCCAGAACAGGGAATTCTATTCAGGAGCCCTCACGCAGTGTAGCGGATGACTCATAGAGGAATGGTTCTCTCTTACAAAGGGCAAATTCCCCTTTCTCTTTCTCTTCTCTCTCACCACCAGCCATCTTGGGGGCAGTGAACATATTCACCACTTGACTGTATCCTTACCTACCAGCAGGGCTTCAATCCTACTAATTAAAAAAAAAGATGACCTAACGTGCCTTAATCCTCACAGTACTAACTCATATGGCAATAACACCTGTCTCTCAAGAGTAGGTGTCTTTTATTCCTATAACAAATTGCTATTTTGAGACTGTATGTTGCATATAACATGTCTTTGAAAGTCCCTTTCAAGAGACCACATGCTCACAGGAAATGCTGCCACCATGATAAAGCCACCACGCGTCCAGTACCATCTGTCCACTCCATAGACATAGGAGACACACGGATGACACGATCTTGCCATCCTCTGGGAAAATTATAACTAACTTGAGGCTAAAATTCTTTAAATTAATATAGTTTTTTTTTCTTTTACTCGTATGTGCATACAATGTTTGGGTCATCTCAGCCCCCTTCCCCCAAGCCCTCCCTCTCCCCCCCTAAATTAATACAGTTTTAATTCATTAACCTGTTTAGGACTGGGCAAAGAATAGGGTATTTGTGTTAAAGATCCATTGTAAACTATTTAAGAATCTATCTGGTTAACCTCCTAAAAATAACGACAAGAAATGATTTGTTTAAGGGTATACTCAAAATTAATGTGATTGTCTTGTGTCATGTGTGCTTTCTGTGTATGTCTTAGTCTGTCTCCTACCTATGTACTTATGGCCACTGAATTTTTACTTTTTTGATCTCATACACACATGCTTATATCTGACATTTTTTGACATGCCTATGTCAAACATCTCTGCGTGTATAGATGTCCTTAGGAAACTACTTTTATAAAGTTAATGTGTAAAACTGTCTCAAAGGTTATCTAAAACTCTAATCCCAACTAGGCCTAACTATTCTTTGCCTTAGAACTAAAAGAAAATTTATGCACAATAATCATTCCATTCTACTGTGAGTATAATTTACATTCAACTTTCTTTTATAATTAGGTATGTTAACTTGGTGTTCTTACAAATTACTATTATGAATATATATAGTTTAATCTACTTTTCTTCCCGAGTCCTTTAATGTATAAGGTTACTAAGAGTTTTATTAAAAACAGTGTTATCTAAATTCAGGTTTTTACAAATGTTGTTTCAAGATACAAACTGAGGTCTTAAACCACATCAGTTTCCTAGAGAGTTTGCTGAGGTCAAAATTTAAAGTAGTGATATATGTTTAAAAATGAGTTTCTGTTTTATCAAGGTAACTGTCAGGGATTTTTGGTGTTGTAGGCTGGTATAAAACTTTACCAAAAGCAAAACAAAACTGTATCCTCAAGTTTTTATTGGGGTCTACCAAAAAAATTAATCTCCAAATACTAAATTGTGTGTGTCATTAACTCTCAATGACTGAACCTGTTATTTTTGGTCTCTAGGGCTGCATGCATGTAAACCACAACCCTGCTGTGTGTCCCAAGTCATTTTGTAATTAACATCAGCAGTCTAGGATGTGATTCATTATCAATATCCAAATGGTGGCTCTCAGTCACAGGGTTTCCTAACTTCCCTTATCTCTGTTTCTGTATCTAATCATTTGAGACATTAATCTTGTTGGTTTGTTATTATCTTTTTTTTTAAAGTACTTGTTCCCCCAAAAAGATTTTGTATTACTACTGTACTAATGCTCCAAAACTATTCAGTTTTCTTGCACTGAGAAATTGTTTCCCCATTCTTGATTGTTCATTAACAAATATACCTTAACAGTTTTTTTTTTTTAAACTCATCAAACTCAATGATTAAATTCCCTTCATAGCCCATTTAAAATTATTTACTATTCTTTGCATCCTGGCTAAATTAGTTTCCTGTCAGATACAAAAAGCCTTAGGTATTTTTCTGGAAACACTGAGAAAACTAAGTTTAAACTAAGTAAAGCTCTTTTTAAATGGTTCTAATGCTGCTAGTGTCTTGTATGTGTATCTAAATGTTATAAATCGTTTATAGTTAAAAGTGTATGCATGTACACAGCTTTAATTCTTTTATCTAAGGTACATTCTATCTAATAAGGTCTTTGACATTTCTGCTGTTTATGACAAATGCTAAAAGTTCTGCCATTTAAGCCTGACATCTGTTTGTCAGATAAAGATTGGTTTACTTGACATCTTTTGGCTAGATAAACATGGTTTTATATATGTGAATGTAACTGAGCATCAAAACAGGGGCTATTTGAAATTACTGACACTACCTTCTCCTAACCAATGGAAAATTTAGGGTTTTTAATTGTCAGTACTGACAACCACTAAGTTGTTATTTTACCTAGCCAAAATTCAAAGTTTAAACTGTGATGCTGCTACTGGGTGCTTTATATGTTAGGTGTTGCTTAATTTGGTCAAAAAGTTTGCATTGGCACTGACTTCTGATCCATTTGATGTATCACTTTCCCTCCTCCGTGGGACAAATTCTGACTTTCTGGGAGAGGCTACTCCTGGCTCAATGGACAAAAATGTCAAATTGGCAATATCTTCAGAGACAACTGTTCAGATAAACACATTAAAAGACTACAGTTCAAAATGACTACACAAATGAGGGGACTTCTCCAGATCTAGATAGTCAATTATGCCAGACCTCTAAAAGTTACCAAAGCCAAGAGATTTTTTAAAAGGGGCTCTTATGCATATACTCTAATATTTTTTAGTGGTATGTAGCTTCTACTTATGGATATTATAAGTCTTTTTTCTGTACAGAACTGACTCATTGATGCTTACCCTCTAATTGGACTAGCACCCACCCCCAGTACACCTGGCCCCCAACGTAGATATTGCCCTCCAAACAAATCAGTCCTTACCTGCCCACTACAGTGGCAGTCCAAACAGAGGGCCATCTAATGGTTAATAATAGCTACAGGTATAAAGTCCTATAAAAAATGTAACCATAAGACTCTATGTCACTTTTCAAAATAAAAAGTTAGGTTCTTTATCCTTCCTGTTATTCCCTTCAGGGCCCCTTCTGATGCTCCTATATTGTTAATGTTCAAGTCATGCCTTCTAAACCAGACTACCTTTAGGACCCAAATCATGAGGCAACAGGGCTATCGATCTCTGCAGACAAACGAGATCTCCATGAGCAACCCAGATCTTCCTGAGGAACCTTAATTGTACTGGATAATAATTCAGACACTCTGTGTCCAAATCGGCCCCCAGGAAAATAAATAGGAGAAACAATTTCCCCTCTAGGTAGGGTCTGCTGACCGTTGTCAACTCGAAGTAGAGAACTTGAAAAAAAGAACTCCAGACCCTCAACAACCTCAAAAAGATTTTTTAGGGGATCTGTCTCTCAGAAGGAAAATGAGGCAGGCTAGAATTAGGGAAAGTTCAGAATTAATATTGCATTTCAGATTGACCATGCTCTGGCTCAGGGACCCCTCACCTGACCCAGGAACTGCTCAGGCCCCTCCCTACTCACTGATAATTGGCTGGGAATCACCTGGTTCTGCCCTTCTCATAGGTCAGCATAAGTTTTAAATGCACCTGGAGAAGAGAAGCATGTTCTCTCTACTTCCCAGCTTCCACCTGTATTTTCCATCCTTAACCTTTAATTAACCTCAATTATACCTATGTATTCTGCTTGGATTCTTCCATGCCGGAGAACATGGACCAATATTTTGGAAATACCTTTTGCTGTTAACCCTACCTCCAAAATAACGAGAGCAAAATGTACTAGAGGTGTGGCTTAAGAGCATCAATATGTATATTTGAGCTGTGAATAGGAGGGAAAAACAGAGGGAGATGGAGACTGAATGTTTACATGGAATTGGAAGAACCAGACAGTGACCTGAGATGCATTGCACTTCATGTCACATCACCAAATAAACTCATATAGATTATCTAGTAATGTGCAAAACTGAAATCACAGGAAAAAATCTTCCCAAGAAATTAGAGGGGTTCATCTAATGTTTGGGAAAGGTCCTTCTGAAGCTTATGAACAATGAAAAAGTAAATGAATCTACGCATCCCACTAGGTAAAAATAAAAACTTCTCAACATGAAAATATTATGAAAGGGCCAGACATCAGGAATCTCTAGCTGCATGAGAGAAACCTCACTGGCAAGAGAACACATCTTCTTACAAAGGCCCTACTGACAACACATTAGGGTATTGATCACATGTAAAAATAGTCCAATCAAAGCACTGCATGTTAAGACATCTGATGTTTTCCTGAACAGCAAAAACAACAACAAAAAAGCGCTGTGTCAGGTCAGAATACATGAACTGACATGAGTGAAAACTAGGGGTATGTTGTATGTATGTGTGTGTGGTGTGTGTGTGTGATATGTGTGTGTGTGGTGTGTGTGATATGTGTGTGTGTGGTGTGTGTGATGTGTATGTGTTGTATGGTGTGATGTGTATGTGGGGTGTGTGTGTGTGTGTGTGGTGTGTGTGTGTGGTGTGTGTGTGTGGTGTGTGTGTGATATGTGTGTGTGTGGTGTGTGTGTGATATGTGTGTGTGTGGTGTGTGTGATGTGTATGTGTTGTATGGTGTGATGTGTATATGTGATGTGTATGTGGGGTGTATGTGTGTGTGTGTGTGGTGTGTGTGTGATATGTGTGTGTGTGGTGTGTGTGATGTGTATGTGTTGTATGGTGTGATGTGTATGTGGGGTGTGTGTGTGTGTGTGTGTGTGTGTGTGTGTGTGGTGTGTGTGTGATATGTGTGTGTGTGGTGTGTGTGATGTGTATGTGTTGTATGGTGTGATGTGTATATGTGATGTGTATGTGGGGTGTATGTGTGTGTGTGTGTGTGTGTGTGGTGTGTGTGTGATATGTGTGTGTGTGGTGTGTGTGATGTGTATGTGTTGTATGGTGTGATGTGTATGTGGGGTGTGTGTGTGTGTGTGTGTGTGTGGTGTGTTCACCAAACAGCACTTTTACAGCACTCAGAAACTTTTCTTCTCAGAACCCTCCCTACGAACACGATCAGAAAACTCGACAAAGATTTTCAAGTATGTTCAATGTGATAATAATTTGGGGTGAATTTAAAATGTCTAGTGTTACAAGGAAGCGCTTTTACCAAGTTCTGTGACAAGCACTCAGCTCTTATTTAGTCTTCAACAAACACACAGCAGCCACTCTGCCTGTGCTGCTCCAGGCTCTGAGCACACAGCACAAACATGAGGCAGAATGTCCACAGAGAGGCTCAGTGACCATGCTGTCCCACATGAAGCCTCTGCTGGGCGGTCCCTTGTCTCCCTGTCAGCACTTTCCCTGGGACAGTAGATCTGACAACAGTTTTCCCCCCTCTGTCTACAGACTGCCACTGCCTGTCTCCCACTTACCAGCAAATGCTCTGCCTCTACTGGGGATTGTTCAGTGGCACCAGAATCTGTCACCGCGTTTTGTTTGTTAATTTCCTGCTTAGAAACCAGGGTGGGTGGTAAGTCTCTGAAGCTTAGACTCTCATCAAGGTTATTATCCTGATCCTCAGGTCCTCTTGGAGGACTTGAGTGCCAGCCATTGACCTTTGGGAAGGAAAAGAGGCCACTTAAAAGTCCATACCCAATGCTCCAGTAGGGTCTCCTTTCCTCCCAGTGGGGTCATTGGAGGTAGGCACAGGCTCAGACATCCATGATCTGCTGCTGACACTATGACCCTGGTGCTGTGCCAAGGGGAGTCAGCACCTCCACCCACCTTCATGCCCAGGGGACAGGGCTACAGGAAGAGGGTATCTCCCAGCCATAGGGAGCTCAGAATGGTCATTTGTCCCTGAAAGTTGGCCCAGAGTCCCAGGCCACTTTAGAAAGCCAGGGCAGCAGCACATGGACAAACAGGGATGGGCCCTCCTCCCTGAACTGTGCAAACCTGGATCTCCTGTTCTGTGTGTGGAGCTGCAATCCCTGGGGCCATCTCTTCAAGGCTGGCCATGTTGTGTTGGGAAGCTGTTTGTGAGTTCAACAAACACTGGACTAGTGTTCTGACCATCGAAACACATTTAAAGTTCTGTACATGGTCTGGAAGAGAAGGGGTTCCCCTTAGCAAGTAGGCAGGGGCCTTGCCTTGCCAGTGCCTTCTCCCTGAGCAGAGTGGGCAAGGGGGCTCAGACAAACAGGAAGCCCTGAGCCCTGCCCTCTCAGGCTTGGCTGAGGGATAAAGGGGCTATCAGCCCTGAGAGAGGGGCTAATGAGATTCTGGTGCTTGTAGATACCTGTAGGCTGCAAGGGCATGTCAATCATAGGGAAGAAAGGACCAGACTGGAAGGACACTGGGGTTTGGGACATAGGGGAGGGAAGTTTAGGAAACAGAGTAGGACAGGGAAGGCCAGAGTGCCTTGTGTGCCCACCCTCAGACAACACTTACTTGTAGTTGTCCTTCCGTTTCTGCCACTTTGAAAGCTTAAAATCCACCCAATCACAAGCAGGACCAAGAGCGAAAGTAGAACCAGGATTGCTACAAGATATTTCCAGTATGAAGAAGCATGAGGAGAGGTGCAGTCAGAGTTCGTGATCACGGGCTCTCCAGTAGCTCCTGCTTCCCCAGTGACCTTGGTCGATGATTCTTTGGGGATACACTTGCGGTCACTCCAGGGGGTACAGGGACTCTCCTCAACTTCCCTGTCAGTGCACCTGGGTATACACAGGGGAGAAATGGTGAGATTTCATGAGGGAAGGCTGGCCAGATGGGATGAAAGAGGAAGCCCCCTCTCTACCCAATGTCCCTAAAAAGGTGTTGGAGAAGAGACAGTCTCCTGACCTTTGGGGTGTTCCCCTACCCCAAACTCTCCCCTAAGTCTGGGGAAGGCTCTGAACATCCACAGTGCTCCATGGGACCACTCAGCCTTGGGACAGTCTCTGCAGGGTGTGCATGGACTGTCCCAGCATTGCCAGAAGGCCCCAAGTTAGAAGATATCTCACTCCAGGGGAAGGTCAGAGCACTTGTGGTCATCATGGAGCCACATCCTCCAGTCAACCTTTAATACAACTGATCTTCCTACCAGTCACAGAAACACCAGGGGATTAGAGAAGAGGAAATTAACTATTGGCTCCTCAAGTCCAAACAAGGGACAAGACATGTCTTTTTGAAGGATCAAGGATGTGGGGTGAAGCTGGCTGTTACTCAGGTCTTTATGGGAAACTTGAGGTCCTTATGGGAACCTTGCATGCAAGGCTTTACTATGTCTTCCATGGGCTACAGGAGCTTTTTGTCTTCATTGTCAAAAGGAAGAGGCTAAAAATTACATTTTACTGCTGACTTGGTATACACATGAACCTAAGTGGGCTGTATTCTATTCTGTCTTCTGTTTTCAAAAGGAATTTAATTATGTTCTGGTGCCCTTAAAAGTATCATGGTCCTATGTCATGGCCTCCTGTGGCCAGGAACAAGTTGCTTAGTCAATCTGTAGCTGCAGGCTCAGAAGACCACAGGGTACAGGGACACCCTGAGAGGGAAGAGGACTCCACAGGGTTGGGGGAGAGAAAGAAGAACAAGGAAGCTTGGGTCTTCCAGGTTCCCCCTGGGCTGCTTACCTACGGTAACATTTCTTGCAGAACTCAGGAGACTCTTTTCTTCGGAAAGTGTCTGGTTTGCAGTGACACACTGTGTCTCTGGTTATGGTACATGGGCTCTTCTGTTCTTCATCTGGAGACAAAGGAAGAGTTTGGGGATGAGTTTTCCTGGTTACCCCAGTGCCCTTCCTTATGACACAAACCCCCTCCCCACTTAGTTCAACTGAATTTATGAAGGAATTCTGAGGGCCAGTTTCTGTAGCAATGTATAAGGGGTACACAAAAGACAGCCCCACTGAGCTGTCACCAATATTCAGAGCATTATTTAATGCATCATATGTTGGAAGAAAGGTCTTATAGATCACAAGGTCAAGTGCAAGGGAAGAACAGAGGATAATCTGCAAGCTCCTGCAAAGAGAAGCTCCCTTGGGTGATCTCTGAAAATGTGGCCTTGCTGGAGACTAGGGAGAGGCCTTAGGATGTGAAGGCAGAGTCAGCCTTCCAGGAACTCACACACAGGATAAGAGAGCCTGGCCCAGGGCCAGCTGGAAGACCCAGACCTTTCCACTCTTTATTCAAAGGGATCTTGGTCAAACACAAAGCAAACCAATGCTGACAGTGACTATGTATCAATGGGTCCTAATTCCTCGGCAGAGTCAGAGAACCATGCCAGACCCAGAACTGAATTAATCAGGCACTGCTTTTGTTTGTATGAGGAGGCTCTTTAACCCTTCATTCTGGAACCCCAGCCAGAGGTGCTCTTCCTTTTCTACCTAGAATCCTGGCATCTACCCTTCAAGGTCCAGGTCTAATGTGCCCTAGTCTATTGAACTCTACCACTTCCTGGACAGAGAGCCCTTTCTCCACTCTAACCTGTCTCACGTGCTCAGCCATCTTGGGCTGGCTCTACTGCTAACCATGGCTGACTGCAGGGAAATGTCCCTTACAGAGCTGGCCATGAAGTGCTGACTGTTTACCTTGTGGTAGGCACTCAGCAAGTGTATGTTGTGTTTTCAAATTAAGGGACAGTGAAAGCAGTGGCAATTGCCCTGGGAATGCATCTGAAGGCACCAGATTGCTCCCCTCCACAGAGGCAGATTAGTCTCCTACCCTCCCAACTGACGATTTAAGTGATGTTGCTTAAAAAGTCGCATGCATTATATATTAAATTTTCACTTTTTAAAAAATTTGGTCTTGCTGGGTGTGGTGGCTTAAACCTATTTTGTACCGTTTTTACAGACTGAACATCTCCTACAGGAAGGGAGAGTGTTGGAATGATTGGTGTAGTCTTTTCCAGGTACACATGGAATACAATGCTGATTGTCTTCTGAAAGATGATAGCCTGAGAAGAGAGAGAAAGTTGAGAATGAATCCTCCCAAGATCCCCAGAGCTGGCAGTAGTGACACCCGGAACTCTACTATTGGCTATCGGTAGAATCCAAACAGGGAAATCCACTCTACCTGGCCTTTGTCAGATCTTTGGTTCTGCATCTACCACACACCTTAGACCACCACTACTGACCAAGGCACAGTGCAAGGCACACAGGAGATTAAAATTCACAGTGTTCATAGTAATGCAGTAAAAAGAAAAAGGTTGAATTCATTTTCATGATATACTTGTTGACCTAAAATTTCCTTAGTATTAAAATATTAATATTAAGTCTTTGCAATCCAGAGTGTATTTTTCACTCATAATGTTGGTAACCTAATATTCCATTGTAAGACACTAGAAAAAAAATCATAAACTAAAGGTGAAACAGGAAGAAGGAAGAAAGCAGAGAGTAGAGTAGAAATTAAAACAGAGACCAGAAAAATAACCAAGAAAATTGAGACCAAAAACTAGTTTTTTGAACAGATCAACAAATTAACACCAGCTAATTGACCAGGAAAATAAAAAGACTCAAATTATTACAATCTGAAATAAGAAAATGGCCATTACAACAGACTCAAACAAATAAAAAAGAGTTGTGAAGGAAAACTATGAACTTTGGAACATTTATGTATCAACAACTTAGGTAACTTGAATAAAATGAACAAATTTCTAGAAAGACACAAACTATGGATACCAACTCAAGATGAAACAGACAATGCTGGAGCCTTGCTGGTTCCAGCAACAGTTGTTTGGGGGGCTTGTCTGGGATCACATCATCCAGGTGAGTTTATTTTCCTTTTCTCTCTACTCTTCTTTGTGTGCTAATGCCAGCTCTCCTCAGATCTCACTCTTCCTTCTCTCCTTCCCTCTGTGTCAATATAAAACACTGATACACACACACACAAGTCTGAAATCCAGAGTGTATTTTTTACCCATAATGTTGGTAACCTAATATTCCATTGTAAGCCACTGGAAAAAAAATCATAAACTAAGATAAAACAGGAAGAAGGAAGGAAACAGAGATCAAAGCTGCTGCCAGCTTTCCTTCCTCAAACCTCTCCCTCCTGAGATAGAAACCAAACTACTGCCCTCCATGGGCATGAGATGAAATGAACAGGCATTAGGACTCTCTGACCTCCTCCTCAAGCCCTGTTGCTTTACTGGCTAGTGTTTTTATTATGTTCTGATCTCTACCACTTCTTTATGAAGACAAAAACTCCTGTCATCACAAAAACCGTGCTCACCCAGGCTGAAAAATACCTTGATTCTCACAAGAAATGAATTCAAGCAAGATGCAAAAAAATGTAGTAAAAATAATAAAGTTTATTAGGAAAGGAATTAGTATAGCAGTACAAGAGTGGGGAGAAATGGGAAAAAAAGAGAAACATTTGCTGCCCCCATGCTGGAAATGGGAGTAGAGACTCAAAATGGCGGCCCCCATATCCCAGTCTTATACTTTCTATGAGGGCTGGGGGAATACAGGTGGTCATAATGGATCTGGGTGGCTGAGATGGAGCTACAACAGGGAGGTTGCATCAAGCATACCCAAAACACAGGGAAGTGCTTCAGCATGTCCATTTGCTTGACGTGATATTCTTTACCCATCCAAGGAGCTAGGAGCTTCTTAGTATCTCAGAAAGAGAAAGGCAGATACAGATGCTCTGGAATGTACATAGCCCTGTCTTGTGATTTAACATCTAACAACAGATGGGAGGGAGTGGCCAGCTACTCTGGCTTTTTATTTATTTTTTACTTTCTAGTTTCAATATCTGAGTCTGGCCCTTAAATATATTATATATTATTGAATAATCTCCCTGTTCCCTCATCTATTTCCTGCTTCATACATCACTCAGGGCTAATTGCTACCTAACAGAGGGATGTCACAATCTGAGGCAAAGTCTTTCCTTGCCAGGATTGAAGAACTGGAACTCGGGAATATTTAAATATCCTGAGATAAAGAACTGAGTATTCCCCTGGGTGGAGGTCGGTCTGTCCAGGGGGCTATGCTGATCTGGCCCAGGGTTGTCTGTGGGAGTACCGCGTACCGCTTAGCTCACCTTGTCCATGTCTTCCCAAGCCATCTGAGGGTGGGCTACTGGTGGCGGCCCGGGAGACCTCCTGGTTTCTCCGTTTAACGTGAAGTGAGACGCTCTGCGCAGGCTGGAGGTGTGGAGGGTCAAAGTTTTACCTCTTCTCAGTGGCCTTGCCTGCAAGGTGAGTCTCCAGCGTCTCTCCAAGATTTCAATTTACGAGGCATGCTTTCTGCTTCCTCCCTCTAGCTGACATCTTGGAAATCATTGCTGCATTTTTTTATTCATTTATTCATATGTGCATACATTGTTTGGGCCATCTCTCCCCCCTGCCCCACACCCCCAAAATTCATTTATTATTAAGACTAATTTAAATGAGGATATATATGAATATGTATAGTAACCCATTGGCTGTATATATATATACATATATATATATATATATACATATACATATATATATACACATATATATATACATATACATATATATGTATATATACATATATATACATATACATGTATATATATACACGTATATATATATACGTATATATATATACATATACATATATATATGTGTATATATATATATACACATGACATAATGCTGTCAATCATAATTATTTTCCTTAAATGCTGTATTCAATAGAGGTAAGTAGACTATTTGTGAAGTGCTAAACTTTCTTCAAAATCCTAACTATGTTACCAGTCTTTTGTCATCCACAGTTTGGATCTTTCTCTAAAGCATTTACAATCAAGTTCATTGGAAATGATTCTAGTAAGTACTTATTTTCCAAACAAATTAGTTTTTCTTCAGACATTTACTCTTATTGGGTTTTGTTCTTATGGTTTTTTTCTTGTAAAACTTTGTAATTATTGCCTGTTGACATTCTACAAAAGTTTAACTTCTAACAAAACAATGTTCAGTTACCTACAAGATAGACAAAATTAAAGTTAAGAATGAATTCCAGGTAAGCTCCACCTAAGCGGCACTTCTTCTAAACCTCTCCGTTGTTTAAATTTGGCCAAAAAGGGTCTTATTGGCACTGACGCCCATCAGTCACTTCTCCTCGGATAGGGAATCACTGGTCACGTCAGACCTACCAGGGCAAATCTGATTCAGGCAAAGAGGGACAATTAACCACTAGTTACTCCATGGATATCTTCAGAAAAAAACTATTCAAAGACATGGGGAAAATTGTCAGAATAAAAATGAGTCACTTAGGCCAACCCTTCCAAAGTAAATAAAGCCAAGAGCTTCAGAAAAGTGTACTTATGCATAGTTACCTGACCCTAAAGATAAACTCTTCCACCTTTGGCAAAAGGTTCCTATTTAAAAAAAAATAATAATAACTGTCTCCACTGATTCCAAACATATTTTCATAGTGCATGTTCATAGAGCTATTTCATGTAACTCTAGGACTTACATTCACAAATGAAAAACAGTGTCAGATCATGCCTTAAGTCTTAATGGTCTATTAACCTTCTTTAAAACCTCTTAATACTGGCCCAAAAGGCCAAAAATTGTATGTTCTCCCTCATATGTGGACATTAGATCAAGGGCAAACACAACAAGGGGATTGGACTTTGAGCACATGATAAGAGCTTTAGCACACAAGGGAGGGGTGAGGATAGGTAAGACACCTAAAAAATTAGCTAGCATTTGTTGCCCTTAACGCAGAGAAACTAAAGCAGATACCTTAAAAGCAACTGAGGCCATAGGAAAAGGGGACCAGGAACTAGAGAAAAGGTGAGATCAAAAAGAATTAACCTAGAAGGTAACACACATGCACAGGAAATTAATGTGAGTCAACTCCCTGCATAGTTATCCTTATCTCAACCAGCAAAAACCCTTGTTCCTTCCTATTATTGCTTATACTCTCTCTACCACAAAATTAGAAATAAGGGCAAAATAGTTTCTGCCGGGTATTGAGGGGGTGGGGGGGAAAGGGAGGGGGCGGAGTGGGTGGTAAGGGAGGGGGTGGGGGCAGGGGGGAGAAATGACCCAAGCCTTGTGTGCACATATGAATAATAAAAAAAAAATTAAAAAGAAAACCTCTTAATAAAAAGATGTTGCATGTCCTTCTATTATTCATACATGGGAAAATATTACTCTGCTCATTCATTATACTGCTTTTATAAAATATTCTGATTTCTCCTATGGCTTCTTTTCTACTGTCATCATCCTGACAGACAACTAAGCTCCCATGCCACCTCTAGTCAGATAGGGCATGACTTCTCCCTCATTAGGAAGCAATTATGGACGACTGACCTTTACCCAGGTGGTGGGGTGAAAATGAGGCAGGATAGATCAGGGGAAATGAGGCCTGGGAATCAGCAGCCAGGAGTTCAAAAATAAACACTGTGTTAACGAGTGGCTTGATTAAAAGCATGCAGGCACGCTTTTCTTTGCTTAACGCCTTACACCCCCTCAATAAGCTGTAATATTTAGTAAAAAGAAAAAAAGGGGAGAAGACAAGGTCCTTCTGACCTTGTCTGCTGCCAAATAATTAGTGTGCTCTGGTAACTGAGAAAAGATATCTTTAAAAAGAAAACACATCCTGGGGAAAAAAAACCACCTGGAAAATGACTCCTCTGAACACAAAAGTGTTTACAAAGGCATATACTTATCACAAAGATTTTTTTTTTTTTTTTTTTTTGGTGGCACTGGGGTTTGAATTCAGGGCCTCACACTTGCTAGGCAGGTGCTCTACAACTTCAGCCATACCTCCAGTCCTGGACACCTGCCTCGAAGGGAGCATCTGGAATGATCCATCCTTTGTTTAAAGGGATGTTCAAACATCTATGTCATAGTGATCCAAATTTAATAAGTGGGCCAAACTTGAAATCTCTGGGCCCAATTTATGAAACAGTGTAATAGTAAAAATGAATACCAGGTGTCAGAACAAAGAGTTCTTTTCCTAAGGTAAATTTGAA